GCCTTGACCGGGAATCCCTCCATGGCGCCCGAAGACTCTCTGCCGATGGTCAGGGACCAAGAGTTGGCCTAGCAGCGACAGGTTTGACAGGGCTTCTGGTTTATACTGACGGACCTTAAGTTAGAACATTGCCAATTCACCAAACGCGCCTTAGAACATTCAACATGTGGGTAGTTAAAACAAAATGACGAGTAACAGTTAGAACATTCCGGTCAAAAATTGTCAAAATCTCGCAGTATTTCGACTTAGAACATTTCACGCGCATCCCTGGCCAGTTGTGGCATTGAAAGTTAGAACATTTGGAGATATTTATGGATATTGGTGGGTAGCAAAGTCCATGGCTGCAGGGTTGTCCACCACCACCTCCACGCCAGACCCAGGCACCTTCTGGTCATCTACTTCCATGGCTGCCAAGGTCGCACTCAGCTTGTCAGCATCAACAGAATCTGCTCCATCAGGCTGTCCTGCCAGCATGTCGTCCTTTGCCACGGCAGCCTCCCCAAGGGGGGTAACAGCGCATGACGCAGCCGACCCACCCCTGGCTTGGACAGCCTCTCTTCCAACAGCAGCCACAGCGCTCTTGCCCAACTTGCCGGCCTCCACAGCAGCATCGTCCGTCGCCTCAACGATCACCATGTCCACATCCAGGTCCTCCTGGGCCACACAACTCCTTGGCCATTGCAAAAGAGTCAAATAGAGGCAAAAATCGCAGTGAGATCAGAGAGGCAAGAGCGCTTGACACACTTGAGCCAAAATGGCCCCGCATTTGGCAGTGTGTCAATCCCTAGCCCTATGACATCCCTGTATGCATGTACAAGTACACACAACACAGTAAAACTAACCCCCAAAAGTTACCCCCCAGAGCTAGGGGCTGGGCCCCGTGTGCGTAACCGGGCCCACCGGGTTCATGGCAGTTCCAAGAGCGCTACGGGTGGTTGAGCCGGCTGCAACGAGGTCATGATTCCCAAGGAATCACACACATTTCATCATGTCGTGTCACGCAAGGTTTTGTTGCTATTCCATTCGCGTTTTGCCACCGACCGGGCTGCACCTCGTAGCCCCGAAACAATGAGAAAGAGCAAAAAAGAGAGGAACAAAAAACAGGTCGTCAACAAAAAACGGGTCGAAACGCTGCAAAACCTTACTTGAGAAACCTGCCAGGCAAAACACTTCTCTTATCCTTCTTCTTGCCTCGAAGTGTATCATTTTGCATATCCGATTCACATGGAATGTTATCGTTTTGTTTCCTCCTCATGGCTTTGCCCAGGAACGGACCTGTTTCAAGCAACATGGCAACACACAACAAAATCGTGTTTTTTTGTGTTATCGGTTTTGCCAGGCCCCGCGCATGTTCCAACACAATGCGCACGACTCTGAGGCATACCGCTGCAGCCGTCTTTGTCCAATCCGAGCCCGTCCAGCCCTTTCCGATTTGCCAGAATCTGCTCGTTTCCAGCAAGTTGCTTCACCGTGTTCTGCGAATTCCCATCTGCTCAGCCTTGTCTCATCCAAGTCGACCTGCATAACGGCACTCTACTTGTAACGATACGCAGGACACGATATGACACGATCCTGACCGGCACCGACAGAATCTGACAGACTCCGACATTGCACTGTTCAAGGGTACGTTTTGGGTCGTCGCCTTCTGCGGTCAGTTCGAACAGGCTCGCTCTGTATGATCCTGCAATTCCAGATTTGACCACTTGTTGAGACTTGCGTCCGGTTGCGGGTTGTTGCATCCGTTTTGCGGGTGTTTGCGCCCGTTTCGCGGCAGTTTTGGGGCGCAATGTTGCGCGAAAAAAAAAAAGCAAACGGTCAGACCAAAGGCCAGTTGATGCTTCTTAACTGCACGAAATTCAGGATCTGCAACAAAACAAGGCGGTGCCTAGAGCCGCAGGCTCAGCTGCCCTCAGAAATGCTTCACAGGTAAGCAACGCGCTGTTTTTTTTTTTTTTAACGAAAATGTGTCCGGATTCACAAGAAACACTGCTCGAGTTGTGACAACGACCATTTTGAAGGCCACTTCCCCGAATTGACGGAACCAATGTCCTCGAAGTAAACAAATGGGTAAGTCCTTAAATGGGAACTGGAAGTTCACGTTACCAACAGCTGGTAGTGTGAGTGTTGCCGTGTGAAGTGCGTGCTAGCGTGTGTGTGTGGTGTTGGGTGCCTCCGTGAGTACAACCACCGTGCTGCCTAGTGATTTAGTGATGTGCCGTGTGCGTGTGTGTGTGTGTGTGGTTGTGCGTGTGTGTGTGTTGTGTGGGAGCGTGTGAGTGAGAGATGTGTGTGTGTACGCCTGTGTGCTTTTGTGTTGAGTGTGTCGTTGAGTGCGTGCGTGCGGAGTGAGTGAGGTGGGTGCGTTGTGAACAATGCGTGAGTGTGCATAGTGCATGCGCGCGCTACCGATGCGCATTATCCTTGGGTAGCGTGCGCGTGTTCGTGCTTGGGTGGGTGGGTGAGGTGGGTGAGGTGTGTGTGTGTGCTTGTGTCGTGCCTGTGTGTCAGTGCGTAGATAGAGTGTGTGTTGTGTGTGAGTGTGTGTGTGTGTGAGTGTGTGAGAGAGGTGTGTGTTGTGAGTTGGTGTGGCGTAGCGTGCGCAGCGTGTTCGTACGTAGTGTGCGTGTGTGTGTGTGTGCAATTGTGTGCGTCTGCGGAGCGTAGCTCGAGCGTGCGTGGGTGCGTGCGTGCGTGCGAGCGTGCGCCATGCTTGCCGGAGCGTGCATGGCGTGCTTGCGTGCGGTGCACCATGCGTGCGTGCGTGCGTGCGAGTGTGTGTGTGTGTGCGTTCGTGAGTGTGTGTGTGTGTGTATGTGTGTCCAGTACTCTCTTTGTCTGTCTGTCCTGTCAGTCTGGTCTGTCTTTCTGTCTGTCCGTCCGTCTGTCTGTGTGTGTGGTGTGACCGTGTGGTCAGTGTGTCTGTGTGGTCTATTTGTGTGTCTGTGTGTGTAACTCTGCATGTGCCTGTGAAAGTGTGTCTCAGTGCTCCAAGGGATACGGGCAGAAATTGAGCCAACCGCTTGAACAAGCTTCCACCAAAACGTCTTAAACCATCTTCACTGAATCTACAGTCCCTTGCAAAAGGGCGAAACAAAGGTCTGCTCTACGCCAATCTGTCCCCAGCCGATGCCGAGAAAGAAACCAAAGCGAGTGCAAGACTCTGGCCATTGCTCCATCCGACCCACCAACTGCAAAAACGAACTGGTTGGCGACGAAGCGCTTCATGTTATATACCACTGACAAGCACACCCAGGTAGTTGCTCTGCTTACCCTCTTTGGATTCTTTGGGTTGGTCAGCTCAGCGGAAAACCAAGTGGTTTGGCCCAAGAAAGTGGGTGGTTCTTCTCCCCTGCGCAAGTAGTGAACAATGCACGCTTTGGCAGATGACTGGGTAAAAACATGGACATGCCCGAGCAACACGATCAAGGTGTGTTCGGCTCAACCGATCTTGCTTTCTTTACGCAAGGTCGAGCCACCCGCTTCTTTAAACTAGACACTGTCGGTTTTCTAGTGAGGATTTTGGACTCCCTCGTTTAACTTGTTGTTGCTCAGTAGGGAATGTGGGAATGAACCCCGGAATCCCCTGAAGGAACAAAAGTAAGCACCAGCTGGACTGCTTTTCTTGGGTCAGTCCATTTCTCATTCTCTCGAATCCACCAATCGCAAGTTGCAGTGGGGTCCATTGAAGTCGTGCACCTCCCGAGTCGAGCACCCGCCATAGGTGTCCTTTCGGGGCAAATAGATGGCCCTGGTAGATGATTAAAACACCAGATAAACCAAAACAACCAGAAACAAAAAAGGACAACCAAAAACAAAACAACCAAAACAACCAAACAAGCAATGGCCATCTATTTTTGGCACTCGCCATGCCATAAATTCGCGTGCAAAGGGCCCCGGCTGATCATCTCCACCTTGCGGCCCTGCGGCCTGCGGAGGATGGACGTCAAAGATATGCTGATCAAAAGGCCCTCTGGACCGTGGGATGACCATCGGTTGGAAAACCACTAAAAAGTTTGATATGTTCAACCACTGAATGGGGAAAGTTACACATGGTCAAAGTGGGAAAACCACTGAACACATGATATGTCCCCCCCTGAAAAAATATAAACAAAAATCCATGGTCGTTTGGCGCCAGGAATAGTGATCAAGCCCCATATGTTCTCTCTGTCTCAAACAGAATCCGTTGCCGCTGGTAAGAAAGATGCTCGTAACACATACAAGTCGTTTAAAACTCCAAAGCAACCCCGATACTAAGCTATAATAGAATTAAGATACTTGTAAACCAATGCTAGACCTGCAATCATCCCACCGAGTCGCGACCCTTACTACACCAAACTCTTCTGCCAGCGGATCAAAAAATGTACAATCGGCACACAAACACACACACAAACACACACACACAGACACACAAACACACAAACACACACACACAAACACAAACACAAACACAAGCACAAAATAGCACAAATACAAGCACAAACACAAGCACAAGCACAAGCACAAACACAAACACGAACACACACACACAAACACACACACAAACACACACACAAACACACACACACAAACACACACAAACACACAAACACACACACACAAACACAAACACAAACACAAACACAAACACAAGCACAAACACAAGCACAAGCACAAACACAAACACAAACACACACAAACACACACACAAACACGCACAAACACACACACAAACACACACACACACACAAACACACACACACATACACACACAACCACACACAAACACACACACACACAAACACACACACACAGACACAGACACACACACACAGACACACCACACACACACACACACACAAACTGCCACCCACCCACCCACCCACCCACCACTTACACCACCACCACCACCCACGCACGCACGCACGCACGCACGCACGCAACCTTAAGCATGTATGCACGCACTGCACGCACGCACTTGTACCTGTATGCTTGTGCACGCACTGTGCACGCACGCACGCACCACTCGCAACGCACTCACGCACCTTACTGCAACCAAGCTTACCCATATACTTATTTTTATATTGCTCACCTCTTTTATGCTGCACATACACACATGCCTTTTACGCACGCACATGCACGCACGCACCATGCACGCATACGCACTTAGCATATACTCACGCAATAGCACGCCCGCTATGCACCCGTGACGTCACCAATATGCACTTTTACGCACCTGCAACCGCACGCTACGCCACTACGCACTACCGCACTCAAACCTCACGCACGCGACTTACGCACGCAACCAAACACGCAACAACGCACTCACCGCACGCACGCACACGCAACGCACATCACCAGCACAAACCCCCGTGTATCGCGCCAACCGCCGCAGTACACATCCTATTATAATATGTATTTATGTAATACATATATTCTTCTGTATCTGTATACTATTATAAGAATATTTATATATATAATATATTATTGTTATATTATATATGCGCACTATATTATAATGTTATGTATATACATGCCTTACATGACACGCGCACCCCCGCATATAATGCGCACCTCCACGCACACGCACCCCTTTCTGTCACTGCCCACAAAGTAGCATATATGCGCCACATACGCACCGCGCACTCACTACCCGCGCACTACTAATATCACCAGCACGCGCCACGCGCAGCACGAGCCTTCGCACCTTCTTGCCCACTGCCTTCTTGCTTTTGCAACCTGTGCCCACTTACCACCTTACCTGCAAACCTGCACACGCACACACCACACACACACGCACACACACACGTACGCACGCACAACGCACACACACACACACACACACACACACCCACCCACACACCCACACACACAACACACACGCACACACACACACACACACACACACACACACACACACACACACACACACACCACACACACACACAACCCCACACCACACACAACACACAACAACACACAACGCCCGCCCGCCGGCCCAGCGCCGCCCGCCGTCGTGTCGTGTCGACCCAACCAAGCCACGCACCCGCACGCCCACGCACGCGCATGCGCGCACATAGCATGACCTGCACGGCACGCCCGCGCAAGCACACGCGCACACGCACGCACACGCACGCACGCAAATACACGCCCACGCCCGCGCACACACACACACACACACACGCACACACACACACACTCAAAACATCAAAGAAGCAAAGGCGCAAGCACAAGCACAAGCAAACTTGTACGGGACTACACTGCACGAACACAAGCACGCTTGTGCTCAAATACAAACACACACGCATGACCTGTGTGAGTGTGCGTTTCAAATCGAACCCCGCAACCAACAAAACAAACACAAATCCTGGCAACACTGCGCTGCCTAACAGCAAGAGCTCAACTGGTGGCCATGGTCTGAAGTCCATACACATCACGACAAAACTGCTAAACCACCCATAAACCCAAGTTGTGGACCGATTTGTGTTTCAACAAACAGACAGCTGGCTCCAAACGTCCAGCTGGCGCCCTGTTGCCGCTCCTGTTGTCCGGAGTAAGGCGCAGAGTGAAGCGGCAGGCCAGGCCAATGAGCCCTGGGAATGCGGGAAAAAAAAACAGGCCCGGTGTGAAGCAGAGTGAGATCTATTTGCCACAGGCGAGGATAGGATTCCCCAACAAAACTAAGGATCTCAACCTCTTTGGCCCTAGACTCTTCGACTCCTAGACGCTAGAAGCCTCTCTTGCTTTTTGGGCTGCTTGGGAAGGCACTCGAGAATTGTGATGGAAACAACTTGTTCGCGGAATGCTTCAATTCATTTTTGAGATGGGTTGTTCTCCAGAGCAAAATAAAAGCTGACGGAGCAAAAATGACAACCTGAAGAAAGGGTGGTCCGAAGGGCAACGGAGGTTGGAAAACCGACAGGCATGATTCAATCACGTTCACCTAACTAACTCATCTATGTGTGTCTGTGTCTGATGTTGCTTCCCCAAAGAAATGCACAATACAATTATGATATTCGATGACCCACATAAAACAAACACAAGTTGACCGACCTGAAATTGACGAAAGGTAAGACTGTCGATGATTGGTTGACGGCTATTAGCTGTGTGTGTGAGTGTGCGTTACATGTGAGCAGAACTGGATTCAACAGAATATCTATGCGGAGCCAATGCTCAACATTCAAGATGCGCAAGCTAAGTTCAATCGGAATCAATGCCACCAACAACTTGATGTTGCGTGCTTTCTGTTGGACAGTGGGGCCTGGAGCAGTCGACGCAAAGCCGGAAAACCAAGTTCCTATATAATCCCCTCCTTATCTGCTTTGAATACGAGGACGGTCCTATGGAATGTCAGTGTTTGCAGAAATCTGAGAAGGGCTCCGGACTCCGCACAAGTGCATGGTGTCTTTATCCGCTACACGGGCACCTCAATCGCAGCGGAACCCTGGGCCCGCGTTTGAGCATCCCGCTCTGGCCATTCTTGGCGCTCCAAAAATGGCAACCCTTGTTGGATTTCAGCAGGGGAACCTAACGAGAACTGACTTGAAATTCATGGCACTGGACAAATGTGTCAGAACTGCGTGGAAGGAATAGTTGTTGCCAGTGGAACAGAATATGGTTGGCCGGCCAGCTGTATGTGCGTGTGTGTTGCAGAGGATGATGTATGCGGATGAATGTTGACCCCGGATCAATAAACCCCTGTTTCTTAATATGGGGGTGTCCCTGGTTTTAGTAGGGATTTCTCACTTTTGGAGGGGCCCCCGAATAAACAGGGGTTTATTACTCCGGGGTCAACATTTGTACGGTCATCCATCCTGTTTTGATTCCCCCAGCTAGGTGCCCTACCCTTTTTTGGTTGGGAGTACAGCCCAGTATGACCCTTGACACCCTATACTCTTCGTTGTATCTGCCTTGGACCCGTGCAAACAAAAAGCAGCGTCTGGAACGCCAGTGAAGGCAAGGAAGCTACATGTTGGCATTGCTTTGAACTTGGCGTTTCGGGGAAACGCTGGAACGGGCGACACCCGGTCCGAGCCCCCTGCCAGTGGCGCGCTCTTCCGGGGTCAAGGCCCGTGACAGGTCCTGCTCAAAAGCAGAGGAACCATGGTCAAAACGAGAAGTTCCGCATGACTGGTCGGACTCCTTGTGGATATGTGATCATAATTCTGACTTTGTGCCTGCATTCTGACTGAAGCATGGCTGATCGTTCCGTGCCATTTGCCCAAATGCACACGCATTAAGCATGGCTGACGTATATACCTGGGGCCGACGAGCAGGTCAGAGCCTTGCTGACAAATATGTTGTCCTCCTGTCTACTGGAACCGTCCTTGATGTTGAAGTACACGTCCTGCTGGAAAATTGAGTCCGAGGCCGGCTTAACAAAGCCATACCTGGCACCATGGCGATTCAATTGTGCAGCCTAGGTCCTCCTGGTGTATGGCTTCGCTCTTGGCGTGGCTGCCCTTGAATCAAGACAGGACCTCAGCGGTTCGGTGGAAGGCCCTTTTCGCCGATTGTTGCTCCTCAAAGAATCCGAAAAGGGCAAGTCCCTGTCCCCAGGCGAGATTACAAACTAGCCAATGATTCAGCTTCACTTCCAGTCACAAGTAACCAGTGAGAAGGCAGCCAGTTTGCTTGACATGAATTATACACTAAATGCTTCTCTCTCTCTCTGAGATATGCTGACCAGAATACCTGCAAGATTCCCGTCGGAACGACTGGGCTTCATACAAGTAGCTTCAGGAAAAGGCCTATGCCAGTCGATGCTTTCCTGACTAAAAAACAATGTTCTCACGGGGTTGAGGCCACCGAGTAGCGGAGAGCCCCAATGAAGCTTCACATTTCGGAACCTCCGATGAAACCAACCGCTCAAACGTCCGTGCTTTTTCTTCCCCCCCCCCCCCCCCCGCAAAAGCGAAACGAACCGCGCCCTGCGGAGGGATTGAACTGAACCACCTCTCCCACCATGATCGTGTCTGGCTCAGGGATGATCATCACCTGAACGCAGCTCCAGGTAACAGCGCTCACCCTACCAAGTGAATAGTGGAGAGATCTAGTCTTCCGCACAAATCGATGGCAATGGAATCCATGCACGCTTTGTTTATGATTTCATTCCGTCGTTGCCCTCCTAATTCCGAAAGCAAATCTTGGAACACCTCACTGTTCCTCCAGAACCCTCTTGCCATCAAACCTCATAGCCAAATAAGCCTCACGCAAAGGCCAAAGCAAACACATGCCACCTCCCTTTTGTGAAGGGATGCTATGGTCTGAGCAACATGCGATTGTAGGCTCGCTTTGCACGCAACGGATTGCTCTCAAACTGGCGTTTCGCACGCCTCACAGGCGTGTGAGACAGACACATGTTTTGTCACGATTGGATCGGAGTTATTTTTTTGCGTTCACCATTTCTTGCAAATTCAAGGTATCAGCAAACAATGGAACACATACATTGTGTTTTGGCTACCGTGCCAGCAGCTGTTGAGAGGCCCTTGAGGCAACCCAGTCTAGAATGCTGAACAAATGCACAAAGGCTTACAGAATCTCAAGAAAGTGAGGCAGCTCTTTGTCCACAGGCGTGTGCCGGCCTTGAGACGATGCTTCTTTTAGGTATGTTTGAGGGCTTCTTTCCGTTGGGGCTTGAACAATGGACCCAGCAGCCCGACTATTTATCACCCAAAGAAGAAAATGGAGTATAGGCCGGGGGTGGTTTTACAATCCCCAATCGATTTGGCTTTGGAAAGGTACTTCACCGTCTTTTCCAAAAATACGTTTTTTTTCCGCGTTTCTACCCGGACACATCAACACATCACCCACATTCAACAGAAGTGCTCCTTCAAACGGAAGGGAGTTACTCTTAAAGTGGCCGGGCCGGGTCCTGTGAACATTTCCGGCTTAATCTGCAACCTATCGCCATGTGGTTGGAATATGCTGGATCAGAATCCATGCACGCTTTCTTGCGGCAAGCTCACAACATGTGTCACATAAAACACGACACATCTGTAAACCGCGTCATGTTGAGCCTCAATTCCAAAACAAATGAGACCTATCCATGGGTCAGCTTACTGAGCTCCTCGAGTAGACGAATCTGTGGAAAACGTCGGCTCAAGGCTCCAAGTAATGTCTCATTTCGGATTTGTCCGCGACCACACCAAGCAGAGGGGTCCAACTAGCACGTCTCCTGCTTATTTCAACAGAAGCCACCATTGCCTCCGAACACTTGCCAAGTGGCCGATCACCTTCTAGATTCAGATTGGCGAAAAACATATCAACCTGCGTTTGGCCCCTCAAAGACATCAGGTTCGCGCAAACAATTTTTATCTTCCCCAACCTGACGGGTGGTGAATTGTGTTGCGCCAACCTCTTGCTTCAAGTAAAAAATGATTTTGGCCACTTTTGACGCAAGCTCCTGGTGGCTTCCCTTCGCTTCCACCAAAAAAGGATACCAGATGCGCGCGAGATCCCCCGATGCCCGCTCCATCCGCAGTTTTTCCCCGATCCTCCTTGGCAAAGGGGCGGCCGCCCTGCGCTAGCGCCAGGGTGAAGAGCACCGAGGACCTGGCACGGCTCAAACGAAAGGCCAAGGCGGTCCTGTTCAAATCTCTTCTCTTTACCTGGAGTCTGCATGACGCGAAATACAAATGGGTCAATGACCCCATTATTTTGGGTAATGACCCCATTTTTCAAGGGTCATGGAGAGTCCAGGTAGTTTCTGGTGCGATAGGTAGGGAATGTGGGAATGAACCGTTTGGGATTTCCTTAAAGGGAAACCACGAGGGATGGTTTATAAGGGTCAGGATAGAACTTCTCTTTGCTCCTCTCTTGCGATCGGTGCGAGAGATGCACGGAATGAGAATTGGAATGACCCAAGTAAAACCATCCAAAGGGTGGTTTCCGTTAAGGGGACCCCTGGGTTCATTCCTACATTCCCTCCTGAGCACCAGCAAGTCTTTGCTCCTTTGGATCGAACCCCAATGTCCGTGGTCCTTTTTGGCTCGCTGACTCATGCGAATTGTAACCATGGACATATACGTTTCATCTTTGATTTTGTTGGATACACAATGTAAAGGAGTCCGCACAAGAAGACAAGGAACACAAGCGACCAACAGCACTGACCAAAGCGCAAACTGTATCCCAGGGTTGGCCTTTTCTCCACTGGACACCTCGTCAACATTGTCAACCTGAAACAAAAGACGTTGCTTCACTTCACACAACGCCAATCAAAGGAAGTCTGGGCGTGTGTCCTCGGATTGGGGCTTGTTTGATATGAGCAGCTGACAGGACCAGGCTGAATTGATACAATACCCTGATCAGTTTGTCAGTTTCTGCAATGTGAGGTCCAATGTCCATTTCCTCACAAGGATGCCTATTTTACCAAAGGAAGCTCCATCTCCTCAAAAGCATGTCCATTTCCTCAAAAAGGATACCCGTTTCCCTCAAAACACTGCCATTTCAAGCCCCCATGTGTCTTTCGCTCCATCAGAGGCCTTGTCCGAACCTCCAGACTGAGGTCCCAGAGCAAAGGCTCAGGGTCGAACAGGGTAAAAAACCAGGCTCCGAGTGGCGATCTACACCCAATCCAATCGCGGCAGACAACAAATATCAACCCCTCTCATGAGGGCTTCGGGACTGTCGTGGGACTGTCGCGGTTGCTCGCGAGAGGTTCTGAAGCCATGACTTGCGAATTCGATGCTGGTTTACGCGTTCGCAAACACAGGGAAGCCGCAAATCGTGCAGAAGTGCGCAAGCTGGAGTTGAAACTGATTGGGCGACATCTGGGAACCTGGAAGGAACAAAGCAAAGCATGGGTTGGGTTTCGGGGGCATCGGCGGACGGTGGGAAGTTGCAGAGGCCCCTTTCGCGACTAAGTAAAAATATGTTCCTATGCCCCTTTCGCGAACCATTTCGTGGCCAAGCAAAATTAAACATGATATTTTGTCACGAAAACGACTTCTAAATACTGTGGTTTTAGAACGCTGTCCATGTGGCTTTGGCCTTCAACCCATTGTGGCAAGGTAAAGCAATGCACCTCCTATGCGATCAAGTGTTGATCCTCTTGTTCATATCCCGCCCTTTTCTTTCTAAGATGGTTGGTTTCATCGTTGCCCCCTCTGCAACGGACCCCGTAAACCGTCCCTAGGTTTGACACAAAACCAAATGGCCTGCCTATTTGGCTTGTATGTCGCCGCGCCTTGCCAGAGTGGCGTCTCCTGACATGACCTGAATCCGCTGTGCCGCACCCGACGAAAAACCCGCTCAAAGTGGAAGCGTCCTTGGGCTCATGGTGTCATGTTCATCAAGCGAATCGACGCAATCTGAAGCCATGCTTCAAGTTCAGGAAGCAACCTGTACGCCCTATGCTTCCTCGACGACTTTTTGAAGAGGGGTTGTTCGACCCCTGTTTTTTGTGCATTGACAACCCCTATTTGATGACTTTGGCCGTTGGAGTCCATGTGTTTTTGTTATTATTATTATTATTTTTTTCCAAAAATTATGCCTGCTATTGCAACCTCTTAAGTAACCTTGGGAGCCACAAACTTTTCTGCTAGCTAAGAAAATTATTACTTCTTGATAGGGTCCTCGGGTCCCTTCTGTGTCTGCGCAAAGCAGCTGCTCCGTAGACAGAGCCTTCATCCTAGCAAACCATAGAACTTGCCTCTGCAATTTGCGCAGGCGGCACGAACAACAACCAATTATGTGCTTGTGTTTTCCGTTTCAATTTTCACACAGGTCCAAAGACGACGTGACCGTAGACAAACCGTAGACAAACCGTAGACAAACCGTAGACAAACCGTAGACAAACCGTAGACAAACCGTAGACAAACCGTGGACAAACCGTAGAAAGATCATTTGTTTTAGCGTAGGACGACTACTTTTTGGCATAAAACCACCATTTTTGGGCATGAACAGGCAATTGTTGCAGGGGACCCAGAAATCCTCATCCTGGAATGGTTGCTGTGATGCGTAGATATTTGGCTGTCCTGTTCTTTTTGGCTGGGCTAAGCGGGTGGGCCAGAAGAAGGACAGACATGGTCAGAAGAGGATTCACCTTCGCCCGCTACATGGCCATGTTAAGAAACCAAGCAGCATAGAAGCCAACATTAGCCTGTGCAAATTGTGAAACGTTTTGCTGCATATATGTGTACACATATTCGGCTTTGGGATCCTATGTAGCGGCCTTAGCGTCAAGTCTTTCGTAGCCCTTGTTCCAGACCAAAACGGAGGCTGACGCTAGTCGTCCAAAAATAGTCTTTGTCAAAAAACCGGGGTTGTCGAAACGTAGATTTTTCAATAGGCTTTGGAAGCATAGGGACAGGAGGAACAAAACGAGCCACGTGGGATTGAACGAATTTAAATACTTCTCCAGGTGCAGTTGGTTGCTTTCTGTGGAGGTTTGGGGCAGTGCAGACCAATACTAGTCGAACAGACTTTCGAAGGTTTCCCCCGATCAAGTCAAGCTTTCTTTGGGAACGAGCTTTCTATCTCTTCCAAAGTCATCCTCAACAGCACGGGTGGACAGTTTGGACCGCTCTTTGCTGGACGCGCCACAGAGAATTCTGCCCATTCCGTGTCATGCAATACCCGTCGTGAAAAAGAAGGCATGCGTGTTTCTCAGAATAGCGGCCCTCTCCAAGTAGTGGGTTTACAAGGGCTTCCTTTTCCCCATACAAGCGTGGTTTTCCTCATGCGCAGAAACACCCATATGACTATGACTACGACAATGATGATGATGATGATGATGATGATGATGATAATGATGATGATGATGATGATGATGATGATGATGATGATGATGATGATGATGCTGCTGCTGCTGCTGCTGCTGCTGCTGCTGCTGCTGCTGCTGATAAGCCGCCCTGAGGCTGCAAGCCGAAGCAATGGGTTGCATCGGTCATACCACCGAATTGACAACAGTTTGCGTATGCATCGATATGCAATGGAACTGGGCACACGAACAACCCAACAGAAGCGCACTTGGGTGTCCCCTAAAATATGAAAATAGACACACACACACACGGCTGCCGGAGTTGAGTTGGCGGCCCTATGCTGGATCGCCAGTGGCAGATCCTTGGGAGTGAAGACCACCTCCTCGCTCCGAGCTTCCGGTGTGAAGACACCAACCCACAGAATCCCGCACCTCGCTGCCCAAAAAAATGGTTTCCTTTCGGGACAAAGCTTGGTCCACCCGTAAAAGGGTGGCAAAACCATTCACAAAGCGAGGATGATTCATGATGTTTCCGCTCCTACGACAGACCCATTTGATACCATTGGGGTCAAACCATATGTTTGCATTTGTGAACGAGTCGGTCAGCTGAGCTGCACCCAGCTCCTTTTCAGACAGACCCAATCCGATGAATCTCGGATCCAATCACCGTGCCAAAAAAGTTGCCACTAACTCAAACACCTGGATCCCTTCTACGCCCCAGATGTCCTTGCCTTCTATCTACACTCTCCCGGACAGAGCTGCAACTCCAACGGCATCTTGCTGATTTCTGCTTGCATTGCCGTGCTTAAAGAGTTGCACATCTCACTTTCCGTTTGTTTCAGCCTTGAGTCTTTGGCTCACGTGTCCTATGGGCCTCATTTGCCACCTGGGATCCGAGTGTGAGCCCGCATGGGGTTCCGTTAGGTAAGGAGCTAACGGGTAAAGCTTTGTAAACACGTCCTATTCAAAGCAAAATTCGGATGGGGAGAGTTGACGCGAATGGGTGTTTTAAAAACCGTTTCGGTGTCAGCTTGTGCCGCCTTGCTTGCACACCAACCCACACCTTGAGAGGAACGGAACCAAGGTGATTGTTTGTTGACTTCTCTGTGTGTGTGGGTTCGTGCGTTTCTGTGTGTGTGTGTGTGTGCGCGTGTATGTGTATGTGTATGTGTGTGTGTGTGTGTTTGTGCGCCTGTGGCTTTGTGTGTTTGTGTGTTGGTTAGATAGTTTGTTAGCCAGCTAGCTAGGTAGTTAGTTAGTTTCTCAGCTAGTTATTAGTTTGTAGCTAGTGAGACAGCTAGTTAGCGAGTTGAGTTGAGTTGAGTTGTGCTGTGCTCTGTTGTGTTGTGTTGTCGTGTCGTGTCGTGTCGTGCCGTGCCGTGTCGTGTCGCGTGTTGTGTTGTGTTGTTGTGTTGTGTTGTGTTGTGTTGTGGTGTGTTGTGTTGTGTTGTGTTGTGTTGTGTTGTGGTGTGGTGTGGTGTGTTGTGTTGTAATGTGTGGTGTTGTGTGCGTGTGCGTTGGTTTGTTGGTTTGCTGTTTGCTTCTTTGTTTGTTGTTTGTTTGCTTGTTAGTTAGTTAGTTGGTTAGTTTGTTTGTTTGTGTGATTGTTTGTCTGTTGTTGTTTGCGCACAGGTCACCACGCACCCTTAAAGGCGACGCGATGTGTCACCAACCCTATGTGTTTAGGGGTGACTCAACAGAAGAAAAACAAGTGCCTGGCTACAAGATCCCATGTTCACCAGCATAGGATTGCTGGACGGCCAAAATGGCCCTGATAGCCCCAGGGTAGCGGAATCTGGAGCGGAAACAAATCAGAGACGTAGGCTTGCGTAAGGCGTGTACTTTCCCTTATTATTTCCTTTCTTCGTCTTTTTCTTTTCAAACTATTCCGTGTCCGCACGCCGAAACTTAGATGGGCCGTTGTTTTCTCTGATTTTTCCCCGTAAGGAGGTTTCACTGCCGTGGTTAGAATTTGGTAGTGATGTTCGTTCTGGCAGAACCCAAAATCAAGAGGTCATAATCATGGGCTGGGGCAGAAAGAACAAACAATCGGCCTTTAGAAGGATGTTCCAGCAACTCTTGGAGAAGCTGGTCACATCATGGATCACCACCTCAGGATGTTTTCCTTTCCGCTCCTCTGGTACGGAAGGGCACAGGATGAGGCCGCCCTCCTGAGCTGTTGCTGGAAGGCTGGACACGGAGATGATTTGATAAGGTTCTTGGCCAAACAGAAATTCCTTCTATCCCACGTCGACACCTAATTTCCGCCTTTGAACCACGCAAGGTCCCTTCTATTTGACTAGCCGAGGCCATCTAACCCTGATCTTGTTCGACTTGAGTGGAGGCAAGGGTGCAAATTGCGAGACCTGCTCCACCAAGTGAATGCGGCACCCAAGAGACTCGGGTCTGTCTTAAAAACAGGCTAAACACCAGTTTGGATTCTTTCGGTACGGTTTGAAAGAAAGACAAAAAGGAAACCTACTATCTGGAGGAACCCTTAGTTTTAGACCTCACACAAAACCCCCAACGACACAGCATTGGGCGTTGGTCAAACTTACAGCCTCGGGCAGAAAAAACCACTAACAGGCTAAATTGAAGGCGAGCTGAGCATGGCACGAATCCCCTGAAACTTCACCAAAAGCAGACCGAGACAGAGCAACTCCCTTCCTGAGGTGGGCCAAAGAGTCCAAACTTGTTCACCACACCGGACTTCCCAAGTTTGAAGTCCAGGAAGTGACTGGTGAGCCTCAGTTGTTCAGTGACCCTGGAAAAAAGGGAGCCCTTTTTGGGGCTTGGACCATTTTTAGTGGGGCAGCCCCCCAAAAACAAGAGGGAAAAAGGACTTGGTGCCCAACCGAGAAGCAATTTAGCCCATCAATTCCTTCAGACAGAAATCCCGCCCGTGAGCGCGCCTGGCCGATCTCCTTGATGGTCCCCTGAAGCCGTGCACCTTCGGAGGCTTCGCCTCAGAGCCGCCCGCAAGGTATCCCAAATAGAAATCGATGTCTCGTAGGCACATGACCAAAGATGCAAGAATCTATATCCCTTCTCTGTTGCTTTCTGCTCCCCTGCAAAAAGTGACTAACTTTTAGTGGTTTAATGGAAATCCCATTAGTTGGCAAAAGTTGGAGTCCTAACATCCAAGCAAAATGCACCAAAGCCTTGTATTCATTATACATGTATATATATATATATAGATACATATATCTATGTATATATATATATATCATCCCTTCAGTTGCCCCGGATGGGACCAAACATGAACGGTGATCACCTTTTTGGGGGCGACGAAACATGGGACCCAACGGATGACACCAAAGGCGAAAAGGTCGATTCGCTTTGGGCAAGAGAGAAAGAGAGAGTCCCTTGTATTGAATAATGATAACAATAATAACAATAAATAATAAAATTAGGGACTCCCTTGTATTAATTATTATTGTTATTTAATAGAGAGTCCTTTGTACTAATAATAATCATGATATACGTTTGAATTATATATAAAAGAAACCATATCCTCCGTCCACACATGTCGTGAGGCCATGATTGCCAAGGCATACGTGCGCTGGGCGCCCCAAGCTCTCAGAGCTGCTGTTTTTTGGTCTTGAAGCAGAAAAGCAGCTACCTTCCTCCAACTAACCTGGCACCTGTCAGAAGGTACCTGGAAGATTCATTCCCTTTTGAAGGGAGCCCCTGTCAGTTGCCATGTTAGTTGGAGGGAGGGTAGACGTTCCATGGCTTCCAAGCATAAAGCTATCATTGGCGCCTTCGTCAGTGTCCATAAGTTCTGTCCAAATGATCTCAGAAGAGTGGCAACCTCAGGTTAAACCTCCAAGTAAATTCATGGATCCGGAGACCCCTTTCGCCTTTCCGGCCCTGAGAGGACAATACTCACCAAAAAGGTGTTCTCTACAGCTTGGTTTTCCTACAAGAGCCGCTACTCTGGCCTTTAGTTCCGAGATTCAAGGGCGAGGGACGAGGGGAGAGGGGACTGGAATCCCATACAGTTGTGCTAACACTTGTGGAAGAATTCAGATTCCTTCCGCCGGCTCACCATGGTGTCAACATAATAAGCCCTCCAGCGAAGCGCCAAAGGTTTATCTTGCGGGTGACGAGCCCTTGGGTGTGCAACCGGGCATCTGGGAATGCCAGAACGAGGTTGCGGAGCTCCATTCTTTAAGACGTTCACTACCCTCAAACTACTGCCCCCCAAAGGAAAATCGGGCGCATGAACACCATCTGGCCAGTGTGTAAAGATATGTAAAGATTGTCTGCAATGGTATCCCGAGCTCCATGTAGGCTCACGAGGCCCCGTGTTAACCACATTACCTCTGTAATTCATGACTTGAGATTGTTTTTTGCTCCCAGAATCGGCACACTCCTGGCACTTTCATGCCGAGCTGCAGCATTTTTGGGATGTTCCCAGCGGGGTGGTAAAGGGCTTGGCTACATCGAACTACCAATTCCCTCGTCTCCTTCAGTGGATAGTAAAAAAGCAGCTGCTTGGTAATTAGCCAGGTTCATGTGGGGTCGCGTATCAGCAAGGGGATGGTCCTCGCAATTCTGGACCTTGAAGGTACTTGTCAAGAGAAGCAAGGGCACACCGATTGTGAGGGACGCCCTGAACGCCCAAAGGGACCGATGCCCGCAAAGGGTGGGTAGCCTGGACATGACAGGTGCCACGGGTCAGAACTCTGGGTGCCGTGGTCATGGCCCTCTTTGGTTGTGGCATTGCTTGATGACCCTCAACCCAAGTAATCGGGTGCATTGACCATAGCACAGGCTCTGGGGGAAAACCATATTTTTAGTAATAGGGCATACTTGTCGTTAGGAGAAGGGGATTTGGGGGTCCAAGGCTTATCGGGATGTCCAAATGCTCATGGGCGCTCCAATGAAGATTTGACCGCCCAAGGAGAGTCAAAAGTACCTGGCTTGTCAGAAATTCCTTTTCTCGCGTTCCGGTCCGGCAGCGCCCCACCAGGATGCCAAAGCGAGAACTGCCAGTGAATTGGCAAGCGAAGAACGGCAAAGCGAATGCTCGCCTGCCCGGCAGCAATACAACCAGAGGTCCCGCTGCTGTCTGCTTCAAAAAGGTGGCAGCCCATCAGTACGCTGTTTCAGACTAAAAAACCAAAATGCAAACATCTGGATTGTTGTTTGCGTACACTTCAGACAAAAATTCAAAGTCAGCTGTAGCGACACAAGCATGCAACGGATTGTGGCCCTGTGCAAGCTGGTGCATGCTGCTCATTTGGTGTGGTCTCTCGAATAAACGGATGGATGAAGAGCAGATGTTCAGATCGGGAAAAGGGACATTCTGCTTGGACATCCGTTGCTGTGCCTGATCCAAGTTTGCGATTGCCTGAAACCACACTGGGCAACCAGTCGCAAAGCAAGGCAAACAGTCGGAACTCAGACGATAGCTCTCACTCCCGTGCCTTTTGTCATCTTGACTGATACGGGGTAACCAGGGAATCGCGCGTCACAGGGAAATTCAAAGAACCCCTACAGAACCCCCTGACCCAAGCTGTCTCTTATGCACAAGAAACTCGCTTGTCCAATATTCCCCAAAGGACCAGAACATAATAGATTGAATACAGCAAACAGGTCAACTGGCCGCAAGCACGTAAAGACAAGACCATGCCGAAATGGCCACAAACCACCTCCAAACAATGTATGTATATATATATATATATAACTACCTGGTCGCCAGACACAATCCGTTCAACTCGCCGAAGCAAGACCTACCAACGTTTCTGACAGCACGTGATGTCAGCGTCACTCAAACATCTGACTACTTGGAACATGCCCCCATGCTGCAAACGAACCCCTCACAGGTTGGTGTATTGCGGCCAAGCAAAAGGGTCTGCTTCTGCAAACGTGATTCCCCACGGCGCGCCGGAGTGAAACGTGTTGACAGGCACGAGAGGGTTGATTGCCTTGCAACTTTGCGCTTGCATATGACCAGTTCTGCGTTGAAGTGGGGGGGGGTCTTGCAGGCATGTTGATTGAAACAGTCCGAGAGGAAAAAGACACAAATCAAAGGCAACACACTGGCAACCAACTGATCTAGCAATGTACATATCAAGTATTTATATAAAACAAATACAACATACTCCTTGACAAGCAGAACAGGTATGTGGACAAACTTGCCATGTTGATCCCATTGTCCACACCAGGGCTGCATTGTCTCAAGGCCTTAGAGTGGCCCCAACAGTTTGTGTCAACCAATCTGCGATGAGAACTATTACCACACAAAGTAAGCGCTCCCATAAACGCGTTCGTGTCATCTGCAGTTTTTACTACAATTCCAAAAGCTGACATAAGGGATCCCCAAGTAAAGGACCTTGATCATGATGAGCTCGCTATACCCCCGGGGTGAGCTCGCTCGCTATAAAATAGGCAGTGGATGCCTTGGGGACATATGGGTAATTCTGAGCCTTGAAAGGATGCCGGGATGACGCGGCCCTGAGGATCCATGTCGGAAACTATCGAGCAACATGAAACAAGGGTTGTCAAATATATAGGCCTCCGCCCCTTTTGGGACCTTGGTTGAAAACCCAAGTTTTCGACGAAGACCACAACGTGTCGACACTGCCGTGGTGTGCGCAAAAATATATTAACGACTTCAGATGATAATTTATTTTTCGAGTCACCCGCCCTGGCGCGAGAAAAAAAACGGGGACATCAATTCAAAGTGACATCAGCTGTGGACCACCAAAAACCTTATCCGTTGCCCGTGTACCATCCACTGTGCCACTGCTTCCTGCGCACGCTTTCCGGCAGTTCCGGGACTCGCAAGCAACCCTCAATCCCTGGCGTCAGCATTAACATGGACAGGCTCCGGGCCTGGCAGCCAGCGGCAGTTGCTGCGCACGAGATGAGGCCAATGAGGTGCTTGAACATACACAAACCACCGCTAGTCAAGCACCCACTGTTACGGAAGCATCCACACATGTAGCTTGCCCTGTCGAAGGGTACATGGTCTAAAATCTCTCAGCCACGACCGCTAATCAAGCACCCACATGTTTTTACCTCGCCCTTTCAATAGCACACACCTTGCCAATTTGGCCTGATCACGAACATAAGCCAAATACCCTTGTCGCCGACGGCCTACTAAATGGATTTTGTGATTCGGGTGCCAAACAGAACCCCTTCACGTTCCAAGTGCAGTTGAGCGCCAAAAACACTGATCAGTGGGTCTACCAGCGCTGCTACAACAAGTTGATAAAGACACTCGAAAATGGACCCTGCAGGTTAGGACACTGGACCCTGTGCACTTGCATGCATATGGGAAGCAGCTCCCAACTCTGCTTGGGGGGGAAAGAAGCGGGGCTTGAAAGTTGACTTTGGCATCCTGAAGCCAAGCGGAGCATATTTGCCGGGAGAAGTGACGTCCCTTTCATAGTAATTAGTTTTCGTGGGAATACTTTACCCCATGGAAAAGACCCACTGGCAACGTTACTACCAGTACAGTTCTAGCTGTTTGGGAAGCTCACGACCCCACTGCGACAAGTGAACTGGTTACCCTGCCGTGAGCTGAAATGAGGATTCATTGACACGGGGCCCCTGTTTTGTTGTATTCAAGAGAACGAGAAGCATACGATGCCAGCCTTGCAAGTTGCCAACCCATTAAATGGATTGATCCAATCATTGTCATTTCTGGGGGAAGCGCGGTCTCATAAGTCAAAGAAGACCAAGACGAAGCGTTCCCTAGTTTTGACGGCCAATCAAGCGTATGGTTTTAACATGCTTGCAGCATGCTTTCAAACACCCGTGTAGGTCCCATGCGCAAGATGACAAACAGATTGCAATGACGGCGATTGCAAATGCCTTTCCACCGACATTCACCTGGAGCCCACGTAGGAAGCAGGTTTGGTGTTCCAGACCACCCAATGCACCTTTTGTCTGTCCAAACGATCCACAAAAAGGGAGCTGAAGATGGGTCCTGCAAGGTACCCAAGCAAAGTTCCTGGAACGTACAGCTTACCATTTGTTGCATCTGAGCATGACCTTCCCCCCGGAATCATGTTCATCCTATTCTTCCATCAGCTGCCTGGCTCTGACATGAGCTGCTGCAAGAAGTCGGCCACCTGCAAAACACGTGGGAGGTCCCATGCGCGGCTGCTTTGAAAACAATGGTGGCCGTGTTGAGCTGTTCTTCTACACCAAGAAACTGGCAAATCTCCACTCTCCAGACTCCCCCTGTCATCCAGAGCAATACCTGAGGATCTTGCAACATCGTGAGGGTGGCCTATGAGTCCAGTTATGATAGAAGCCTTTACCTGCCGAGTTGATGGGCCAGCACTGGATTGTAGAGGTGCAGTTTTTGACCACAAAACCGCATGCACCGCAAGGACAATGTCTAAATGCTGTAAGTACCCAGTCAGGTTAAAATGGAACACAAGGTGACAATCGCAAGGACCAAAAACCCCAAAAAACAAGTTGTCAAGACACAAAAAAGATCGAGGGCTTCAAATCACAAAGTCAGTCAGGCAGGCAGGCGGGCAGCCAGCCAGTCAGTCAGCCCATCACGCCAGTGAAATCAGCTTGGGTCGGATGGTTGATTGACATTTGGCTCGGCAAGATGCTGGGCATCTCGCATGCGTCTGGAAGCACGGGCGATGCTTTTGGCGGCTGATCTTTAGCCGTCAGAAGCGCAGCAAGATTGGCTGCAAGTATTTCGGTAGCTTCCGGACGGCCAAGCCTCAGGCGCCAGTCGAGCCTGCAGAGAAGTTACTGCTAAACACTATCTGCTAAGTTGGTGAAGCAAAATGTCGTTTTGCCGAGCTTCCCCTCAGGCTTTTCAGGGCAAAACAAGTCAAACAGCGTAGGAACAACCACGCCACCGGCCATCCGGCCGACGGCCGTTGTTGTGCCGGCACCGGACTTGGCCGGCAAACGCAACTGACAAACTGACTGGCTGGCTGATGGGCACGCAACAATGGTCCGCCTGGCTGGCCAATAAGTGAAGATGAATGAAGCCACTGCCCGTACCTCTAATTTCGAAGCTGGAATTGCACCGTGGGTGTCCTGAATATTGTAGGCGTAGAAAGACTATCGTGTATCAGCACGGCAACTCTGACTACCATTATTGGATGGCAAACACCACAATCCATCTTGCTTCAGATTAGGTCACTTTTTGATGTAAAGCGACAACAAATCACAAAGACGCGGTCTCCTCAGCTTTCTGTTCCTCCCCCTCCCCCCCTCCCGATTTGGACCGCTCACACAACCCCTCCGCACCCCAGCCCTTTTTGAGCGATCTCTTGGCGCGTGCCTCAAAGACTGCGTCATTGGGCGGCAGCTTTGTCAGGGCTTGACGACAGGCAGCTGCCTGGCTCCCAGGGCCCTCGGAAAATCAATCTGCCGTCTCTGCGGAAAATTCGCCGTGGTGTTTCGAGTGTACTACCAACCAGAAGCATGCTGTGAACAGGAACCAGAGATGGAATTAGCTTTCTGTAGACCACTACCTCGCTCGAGTACCCAAAACAGCTGCGCTGTGAACAAAAAGCAAAGAAAGGCTGGCTGCTTGTAAATAAACCTCCCCTACCTGCACTTTGCAGCGCAATGGCAAGGCAAGGCTAGGATCCAGCAGTCATCCAAACGGCCTAGAATGACAACGAAGAAAACAGCAAGTGAAAGGGTAGGGCATAAGAATGGCTGCCCAAAAATGTTTCCAGGACCTTCAAAAGACACAGAACCAGCCCCCATTGGCCGGCACAAGTCCTTTCAGCAACCCTCGAGCAGCAAAACATCTTGCCCGCGCGCCTGCTCAGCCAAGTCCTTGGCTGGTTGCCGATATTGTCTTTGGGCGACCAATGGGTCCTTCATTTCGAACTTTCACATGTCCTTGTATTCTCACTGGAACAGTGCAACTCCACCGTTTACCATTCTAGTCAATGGACATTTCGGTTCACGGCCACCAGAACGATACAGAGGTCCTGATTTCAGCCTGCAATATGTATGTTTATGTATATTTGTATATATATATATATATATAAGTTTGTATTCTTTTACGTTGGCCGGGCAGGAAAGATTGAGTGCGGGGTATGATTCGCGGGTATGCAGTAGCAGTAGCAGTGGTAGTGGCAGTAGTTGCAGCAGCAGCAGAAATAGTAGTAGTAGTAGTAGTAGTAGTAGTAGTAGTAGTAGTAGTAGTAGTAGTAGTAGTAGTAGTAGTAGTAGTAGTAGTAGTAGTAGTAGTAGTAGTAGTAGTAGTAATACTACTTTGTAATACCTACTCGTAGTCGTGGTAGTAGTAGTACTAGCACCAGCAGCAGCAGTAGAAGTAGTAGGAGTAGTAGTAATAGGAGTAGTAGGAGTAGTAGTGGCAGCAGTATCAGTAGCAGGTAGCGCTGGTGGTGATTGTTGCGGAGACAGTGAACAACACAAACGGTAGAAGAAAAGTACCATCTTGCAGCATACGTTTTGAAGGGGTATGATTGGGGGTATGATTCGGGGTATGTTTCCGGGGTATGATTCGCCAAGGTCCAACCTTCTGCCTCTTGAAGCAACTCAAGACAACAAAAAAAGACAACCCTATATGACATAAGCATATTATATAACAATCTCTCTCTCTCTCTCTCTTTCTCTGCAGCTGCGTACATTAAAACCAACTGACCCCTCTTTCTTGCTTTTTATACTTGTTTTGGCAGACAACAAGCGTCCATTTCTCCTGATACTTGCACCTGCCAACGCCTTGTCTTTTCCGCCTTTGCGGCGGAACTCGTAAATGGAAGTCCAGGCCTTTTGCAAAGCCAAGGAACAAACCGAGCACCCTGTTCTTTCTTCTTGGTTTTCAATAAATCCAAACCAAAAGTTGGAAAAAGAAGAAGAAACAACCACTCAAAAGGGTTGCAGTCGTGGGTGCTTCCGTTTGCGTTTCTTCGGTTTCCCGCTCACTCGAACGTCCGAGTCTCCGCCGGGAGTTGCTCCAGAGAGTCGACCACCAGGCCACAGCAGCTCTCTTGGAGCCACTGCAACACCGCCTCTGAGCTGCGCTTGTTGGGTGTGAATGCAGATGTGGACATGTTTTACTCTAGAAAACGGTTTCAATGCAAATGTGGACATTATTTACTCCAGAAAACGGCTTGACTGCAGTTGTGGACATCAGAAAACATGAGATATGTCCAACCTCTCAAAGGGGGTTCCATCCAAAAGAATCAGAGCCAACTGTCTCTGAAATGGACATTGGTACACGGCGAATGAAGGGGTTTTTGCTTTGGCTTTTTCGTCTAATTTGACGCACAAACAAACAAACAAACACAGCAGGTTGACATAGAATTCGTTGACCTGATTCATGTCACGAAATCACCATGAAACGTCTGCGTGCGGCAGCTTCTGCTGCTGACCTCGCAACTAAAGCAAAAGAAAAAAAGCCCTTTGAAATGCGACCGAATTTCCTGTATCCGCTAGGTAGATTCCGATCCGCTGTGCATTGTGGGGGATTGCTTCTCTTCACCACACCTTGTGCTAGAATGCCAGCCATGATCAAACTCAGCCCAACACAGCCGTTGGTTGATCTGAAGCCTTCACAACCAGTGCCCCCCAACCACAATCACTGAGGGAGCCCAGTTTGGAACATGTAAACTCGTTTCCGAGTGTTAGTAAGCGCCTTTTGAGGAAGCCCTACTCCCTTGGTCACAGGTAACCACAAGCAACTGACGCAACGTGTGTGCTAAGGGACCACCCTTTGGTTGTCAAATAGACACCTGGAGAAACAGCTATAGGAATATAGGGTTATAGGAACCCCCTACGTAGGGTCGTCAACCCCTCCCATTCTGCAGGGGGAATTTCAACTTGGTTGACGTTGGAAGGGGAGCAACAATTTAAATTTCAGCAGTTTAGTGGGGATTTCCCACTAAACCACAATAAGCAAAATGTAAAAAATGTTTCCCAACAACAACCATGTCAAGGGGGATGGTATAGCCACCCAAGTTGCCCAATGCCAAATGGTCCAAACATCAGTCTGGCCTGCTCTTGAGGCATCACGTGGTGCCGCTCAACAACCTGAAATCAGTGGGACTTTTAAGGAAAGCGTGATGCCAACCTGAGCCACTTGCTCAAAACCCGGGTAGATGAAGGTCAGTAAGGGATAATCCCAACCAAAAATGGGTGCGGATATCCGCCTTGCTCATTCTTTACATGGTTCTGGGTAGACCATTTTAATACCGATCGATTTTGATTGTGACTCACCTGCCATGGACAATCCTGGGCAATAATACATAACGATAATGCCAAGCTATCATGAAATGACTTCTGGAAAGAAATCTGCACGGCCAATTCAAGGAATCCAATTCCAAACACTAGATGTAGGACCCCTGATGGGTACGGTCCGGATTCAAAGTTGACATGCGATTGGATCCGCCAGAATGGGGCCTTGGACACCGGTTTTGCCAAGGGTGGACGGCCCCGCCCATGTCCTCCCCACACCAGAAGACCGCTCATTTTGTCAGAGTTCGCACGGTACGTGTGATGGTGTCCAACATGGTTGCCGACGAGAAGGCCAACTGGCAGTAAGCAGTAACAACAGTGGATATATTTTATTCAGCTTTTAGGCACTTCACAGGACCTCAGTCAAAAAAGGCGAGGCTGATTCAGATTCAAGAGTCGCCCAAAAGAAATCCGTTAACGCCATCCGGCTTCGGCCTTACACTTTCTGGGCACACGAAAATGATCCAGTTGGATGCCAGGGGTGAGTCATTCAGAGATGGCCTGCTTCATTTTGGAACCAATCAGCAACCACAAACCTTGGGGGGTCGTTTTTGGTCCTTGGCTGGGCAGAGTGAAGTTGTGGACCATCGCGTGCGGCAAAACCCCGATCCAGCAATCCACCATCAAACGACACCTGCTTTTCTTGTGGTTGCCAAGCACTGCGTCAATGAATTGCTCTCACCTCTGTACCGACAAAAAAAAAAACAGGCCCCATTCAAAGTCGTTTTCCTCCTGACAAATCAGTGAAAAGGTCTGCCGTTCCGCCGAATGCAATTAAGCTTGCCAACTTCCGGGTTTTGTCAACAAGCAACTGAAGGATTGTACCATGGGAATAGCAATGAGGGCACAAGAAAGCAATGCCGGCTGAGAGCCTTAACCCAAAATATGGACTCTTGGCCGTTGTTGATATATATATATATATATATATATGGTCACCCCCCCCATGAACTACATGTCTATCCTGTCCTACTAAAACTGTGTTTTTACTTTGTATGTTTACTGTTGTTTTTACTGTAATATATACATATATATATATATACAACACATGATATTAGAGCGATCCTAAGTTCCGCAGTGTGCTAAAATCAGCTGGTACCCGCATTCTTTCAGGTTTTCCCCTGCCACCACTCATCAAAGACTGCTACCTGAATCGACTAGCCAGCAAAATGGACACTCAGTGTTGGCCTGCACTACAAAGCCAAATAGTCCCTCCAAGCAACTGTTAGCTGTTACGAGTTCCTAACACGCCTAACATGGCCAAACAATGGAATTGTAGTGCGAGCAAGGCAGTCGGCACTCGTCTAGCAACAACAGCTGACGAACAGATCCTTTTCTCTCCAGCAGCCAAGTAGAAAGGCGAAAAGGCCCCGTTTAATCTGTTGGGTGTCAGTTTGGTAGCAGTATACTCTCTCTCTCTCTCTCTCGCGCCCGCTCCCTCTTGCTCTGAGTGTCTGTGTTGTCCGTTCCGTGTCCATGTGTCTGTGTGTCTGCGGCCAAAACAAAGGCTTACGATGTGGAAAGGAGAAGCAGGATTTTGTGCGATTTGCTTGATTTTCATTGACAACAACTCTGTAGCTGAATAAGAGGCAGGTGACAAGGAGAACAACTCCTTGCAAATGCCCCGGGGTATTGGGACTTCTCCCAAGGCCTCCATGCAAGTATCATGCAGGATATAGCAAAGAGCCTAGAGTAGTCGCACCCGCCCGCAGCTATTGTTCAACATCTTCGGACTGTCAAGGTATGCAAAGCAAAGACAAACTGGTATTAACTCTACTGGTATTAACTCATGAATACGGCTGGTATGGTCAAACCCAGCCACGGACAAATTCGTTCTTGCAGTCTTCTTACATTTCAGTAGCCCAAACTGCCAGGGATTCAGAGCATGCGCATATGGTCGTGTCTCCCGGAGCTATGCTCAGATGCCCAGTGGCCACAAAAAAGGCATCCTGTTCTTTTTGGTTGAGTTTAAATGGGGAACCATTAATTACCCAAAAAAGGAAAAGGGCAACACTGGGCCAGCAGAGTATGTTCGAACTCCCCCGTTGAAAACAAAAACAAAAAACCGTTCAGCCCTTTTCGAGTGCTCCGAGGCGCTAGCGGCACTTGACAGGCGCAGGCCTCCGCGCACACGCCAGGGCCCGCCTTGCCTAGGACACAAATGGCCTCGGCGCGGCCAAGCGGAACGAGATGGCGATCCAAATTGGACACTGCGCTCGGGTCGTCTTCTCTTAGCGGACCCGCGAACTGGTTGCTCGGTTGCGAAATCTGCTCCCCTGCTAAAAGTTTAACTTGTGGTTTAATGGAAACCTCATTACTTGGCAAAAAGTTGACGTCCTAACATCCAAGCAACATGCACCAAAGGTAGGATTCCTTTTGGTCTCCCTTAAAAACCACTGAAAGTAAAAAGGGTACCTTCAACAAAAAGACACCCTGCTGAAGCTGGTTTGGACTAGATTCGCAGGACTTGTCATGTTCAGAATTGGCTCTTAGGTCCCGATCCGATTCAAATATTTCCTGGAAGTGAAACCTCAACCAATATCCGGGTGAGTAACATAACACCAATCCCAAGTGAGGTTCCCTAGAAAACGAGTCCTAGGCAAAACGACGCTTCGCGACGCTTAGCCGCGCCTGGCGCATGTAGTCCCTTACCTTCTCCGAGGAGATGAAGCCCTCCACGACCTCAAAGCCGCACGTGCCACTGGGCGTTCCAATCGTGTCACAGTCTCTTGGTGTCCCTTTAAAACCAGCGAACAGCGGGTTCCCAGCCCATAAAATGTCCCCTCTGGCAAGAAAAGCACCCGGGAGATCAAACCCGACCGTCCCAAACGTGGAGGTTGATCACTATTCCCTTCGGCCCCCCGATTTGACCATGGGTAACTTTCCCCATTTAGTGGTTGACCATAGCAAACATTCTAGTGGTTTTTCCCAGTGGTCATCCCACGGTGCCTCTGGACCTTGTGATCAACCCCCATTCGTCCAGAATTAACGGGCAAAGCTCATTTTGCCCACCACTTGACACTGCGTTGCTACAATTTCTGGCCATGTGGGCGTGGCTCAAAATTAAACAGGGGGGGTTACGCGGGTTTTAGTCTTTGGTTCCATTTACCAGGGTTCCATATTGGTACCCTTCTTCTCGGTGGTTCTTCGACCACATCCATCTCCCTGTGCCCCAAGCCCCCCTCTTTTGGTCTCAGCGACAAGGGTTTTGTTGCATAGGTTTGCTTTCGGATGAGACATGACTGCGGCAAGGAACGTGTCGGCCGTCCGCGACTTCCAAGAAATCCTGGAGCTGCACGTAGAGCTCCTGATTCTTGCCACCTGCACGAATGTCCGCACCGACTCATGTGCACCTGAGGGACATTTTACAACCGACAAAGGAGTATGCCAAAAGAGCAGGTTGTCCCCCTGCCTACCTTTGACAGGACCAAACATGCTACTGTCAAGGCACCCGTTTTCCCTTTAAACCAGGATTGCAGACCAAGAACCATAGCCAGATCCCAGAAAGAGCTTCCACCTCTCTCAAGAGGCGGCATTCTTCGGCATTCTTGGATATGCCCATGACCAGTTGAGTGCTTCTTGTATCTGAAAGCGGGCGATCTGAGCAGCACATGAAGCCACTAGCCTGCTCCGAGGGACCCTAAACCCTGCTTCTTGTATCTGGACGGCCATTTGAGGGCGAAGATCGCCGTAGGCGATCTGGTGTTGCTGTTGGCCCCACTGGTTGCAGGGAAACCAAGGAGCAATCAAGGAGCCCTCTAGTCAGACCCTTTAATTCCGGGGAGCAGGCTTCTCTTTTCCAGTTCTGAGTTGCCTGCAGCGCCCCATCCGCAACTAAAACAGGCGCGCCAAAATCGAAACCTAGTTTTTTTCTTGTGTGGCCAACAGTGGCCTGGTTTTGACACGTCGGTGTCGGTGTTTCAGCAAGACATGCCAAACTGAAGCCAACCTAAGCTGCCCATACTTCTCTGGGCTGTCCTCAGGTCCCCTGCTAACAGTTTATCTCTTTGTGGTGGACATGGAAACCAGCACCAAACAAAAATCAAAACAAAAAAAAAAAAACAAAAAACACACACTAAACATAATAATAATAATAATAACAATAATAATAATAATAATAATAATAATAATAATAATAATAATAATAATAATAATCATAATAAACAACATCTAAAACTGACACCAACACCAAACCCTAACCCTAGGCTTCAACCCCCATTAAAAGAAAGGTTGACCCAATTTGGATGATGACAATCTTTAGGTAAACAATGGTGGTTATATGAGCCCCCATTGTTTTCATGGTGGTTTGAATCCCAGGGCTAAAAATACAAAACCTGGCTGGGAGGCACGAAGTTATGTTACGCATTTGATTTGACATTGGATTTGTAGAGCCTGCCATGGGAAGTTGCAGCAGCTCTCCCGCGACTGCTTCTTTCCAGCAAAAGAGAAAAACAAGTAAATGTCGTTTGCGTTCCCTGTGCTGATGGTTCAAAAGGGATCTCCGGATCTCCGGCTTCTCATTTTGGAACCAGCCAAAAGGAACGAAAGGAATATGGATGCCGGTGGACCCGTCCTGTCCAGTAGCCCTTCATAGAGTGAAGCCCTTTGAATAGGAAAACCAAACAGCAAAGGAGGGAAGTTGCCCCCCTACCCCTTTGTCCTTTGGTAGTTTCAACACAGGGTCCTGAAGGCGAGATATTCTTCTGTTTTAGGGGCATCTTAGATATAAACTCAGTTGTTCAGTGACCCCGGAAAAAAAGGGAACCCTTTTTGGGGCTTGGACCATTTTTAGTGGGCCAGCCACCAAACAAAAGCTGGAAAAAGATTTGGTGCCACTGAGCTGAGTAAACTCACTACACGTCGCTGTCTCAGGACGCCTGGGCCACTCCTCTCAGGGATCTGAGCGCGGCGCAAATGATGATGAGATCCACTTCCTCGGGCTGGGAATTCCTTCCATTTGCGAATACCCCAAATGAGAACATGAGAACATATTTCCAGTGAAATCGATTCCCTTTAAAACCAACAGGGGAAAATCACAAATACTCTGAAGCAAATGGAGGATTCCGCTCCCTTCCGAAGAAGAGAGGCCCATCCTGGACTAGCCTGGGAATCCCGGCAAGCTTCTGTGCATTGCTTGAGCATGAGACACTTGCAACACGTCCAAGGATAGGCGGTTTCAAAGTATCATCGTGTTGTTTTTTTCTGGAAGTTGCTAAGTCGGACTTTTGACCCTGTTTGAACCACAAAAATAGCATCACTGGCCCGGAAGGAAGGAGGTCATGTGCTACTTGCCCGATCCGCCACCAACTTGGCCTCAAAAAGCAGCACCAGAGGAAACAAGAACCCACACAAGTCTCCCTCAGCTGAGTCTGGCCATCCAAAACCCGCCCGTCCGTTCATCCGTCCGTTTCAAACGGTCGACCGTCCCAAACACATCCGAGGCGCCGGGTGCGTCTCTGCGCACTTCCAGGCGATCTGTGCCACGCGCGAGGGCGCGTAGCCACCAAAGGCCACCAGCAGCTTTGGCTGCGCAAGGAGGGAAAAAGGAGGGAGGGGACCGGGGACCGCACGCATGCCGTGGCCAAAGAAGCCAGTGAAAGACATGGCATGAGCCGCGTTGTAAAAGCCATCACACACAGTATACCAGGAGTCATTGCATCATAAAAAAAAATGGGTAATAACAATGTGAGAAGCCCCGCACAAGCCATGGTTTCTTCAGGCTCTGTTCAGTGGGTTATTTCACCAGGCCGGCTAAGCACTTGCCTAACGTACCCGATCGCGTCTTTGAGCAGAAATCAAAGGTAATCACCTTTTGGGGCCCAAAGAATGGAAACCAAACAGGGGAAACCACAAGGTGGAACGGTGCTTTGCGAAAGTCAAAAACAAACAACCCTCGACCTTTCAATCTCCAGCCTTTTGCACAACGGCACCAAACAAACTCCCACTGTTCTTGCATATTGTTCAACAGCATTGGGAAGCCAAAGGCATCCCCACTCACTTCCTGAGTGGATGGGCCAAAAAAAGTAAGCAAACTTCTTGTTTATCACCAAAATGCTTCCCAGAAAGTTTAAGGACTGGGAATTTAGGGAGTGAGCCCAAGAAAGGCCGAAGAAACTTCTTTAGACATCCTGAGAAGGATTTGGAGAACCTTCAGGCAGGGAAGATGCTTTCGCCGAAGAAACATGAAAGGTAAGGTGCTCTGTAGTTGGCTTATTTGCGACGGATTCCTCCTGGTGTTGGTGAATAAATCGATAAATCGAGAAACAACAACAACAAATAACAAACAAATGCGCTTAATGTAAAGGTTTGTAGATGCTTACACACATTCGACGCTTATCTCAAGAGGTGGCTTTGATGGACATACTATGTTGCACAGGTGAACAGAAGTACGAGTATGCCTGTAAATATGTATGTAGACATGTGAGCAGTGTTCTAAACCCAGTTGCGGCCGAAGAGAAATATCAACATCCCCTGCGTCGCTTCTGCAGGAACACGCAAGAAACACACAGACCGTACCGGAGTGTTGCCCTTTCGCGAAGCTTTCGCAAGCACATACATGATAAACCCCTTCTGCGGACCTTCGGCGCCCCCACGAAGTAGGAAAATTGACATTTTGAAAACAATACTTCCTCCAGAATACTGCTTTCGAATGCAGGGCTTGGAACGTCGCTCATGTGAAAACAAGGATGCGGTTCTAATTGCTTACATCAAACGCTGACATTACTTGGTACTGTTTGGACCTCATTTAAACAAACCCTATGAAACAAACTCCTTTTCCACCCGACTGCCAACATATTACTCAACAGGCAGCAACAAGTTTTGACCAAAATTGCCCCTTCAATCGACTTTTGGCAGTTTCCAGAACCCCCGCCCCCGATTTCAAGACGTCCCTTGTTTCACCCCCCACTCCAGCAATCCGCAAATCACGCAAGAATACGTTTAAATGACAAAGCTTCTGCCAATACTTTTGCCAAGGCATGCCGCTGCAAATTCCTTTTAGTCCCAAGGCGTTTTATTCCAAAATCATGAAACTTGAGCTATGCGCAACAGCAGTTCTCACTACACATCGCTTACCAAATCGAAGCTTGGCAAGCTCACAAAGGGTACACCCGTCCCTTCCGGCTGGTCCCTCAACCAACACAATCCTGAATCATCAATCTTGGAAAACAACACAAGACTGCAGTATCTTTCCCATTCCAGTCCTATGGGCCGGGAAAAAAAAAATCACAAGTGACAGGCAGCGCTGCCAGCCAGCCAGCCAGCAAGGCAAGTGAGGCACACAGGCAAGCAGGCAAACACAGATAGACAGGCAGGTAGGCAGGCAAACAAACATGCAAACAAACACACAAACAAACAAACAAACAAACAATCAAACAATCAAACAATCAAACAAACAGGACACGCAGGAGGGGACAAACAAACAAAGAAACAAACAAACAAACAAACAAACAAGCAAGCAAGCAAGCCAACATACAAAAAGCAAACAAACAAACAAACAAACAAACAAGCAAGCAAACAAACAATCAAATGGACAAAAGATACATCAATAGCAATCGATTGACAAATATTAGACGTGTATGCAGTAATGTGCATTATAGCGATTGGACAGATTGACGTCATTTGCAATCGGCCAATCAATCATACTGAAACACGCGCATCTGCCTGCCTCACTCTTTTCAGTAGTGCAAAGAACATTTGTGTTGCCATGAACACTTATTCTTCATTTGCAACCTCCATGGTGCAACTTTGCTCTCTATTTTCCTGGCGCTCTGTTCCGCCGAGCGGCCTTGGCGGTTTTCAGGGGCTTCTCGAGTCGCTCATAGAAGCTGGGATGGATGACCATGCCTTGGCGCTTTGACCTCTGGAATTCTGCTCGCCTGGTTATGTAAAACGACATCAAGTTTCGGGTCGTGACACAAAATGGAACGGTCAAAGTCAAGCCTTGTTGATTTCCCAAATGCAAACACTAACATTGGGAAGTAAGGTTTGACCTACTGCAAGTTATCTGACAGAGGGCTTGTTTCCTGCACAAATAAGTGCATCCACATTTGCGAAACCGATGCACATGGGAATTCTCGCTGATAACATATTCTCTCACAATCACAAGACCCCGCAGTCATGCAAGCAAACTGGGGGCTGGCAACCAGCTGTCATATCATGCATGGGGCAACAGCAATCAACTGGAGCTGTCATCCCGATGTCGCTGACGGCCACCCACAAACAGCCGCCAAGTCTCAAAAGTCCAGGATTCTGTTTCGGCCAAATTGCATTTTGTGTTGTGCGGTGGGAGGGTCCCATTCGAGATGGCCAACCGGTGGATGAGCGTTAATCAAAAATCATATTTACTGGCCAAAAGAAATCGTAATCAAACGCTTTGGCCGCTGAAGTGAAGCATGAGCCTTGCCTCCAAAAAAGACAAACACCCAAACGTCTGAGCATCCACCCCTTGAGCTGTCGGTTCAGTTGCTTTCACATTGCAACCAACCTGTCGAAGAGCAGCTTTCGTGTGCGGTGATGTTGACCCGCCTGTGCCAAAAGGAGGTCCAGCGAGGACATTCTCTAGCACAGTTGGGCATGGGTCAAAATCCCGTACCCCCTGTGAACGTCCCAATCCTCATTAAAATAGGTTCTAAAATGGGTGAATTCACCTACCAACCAAAATGGGATCCCAAAACGGTTTTGACAACCACAGCCAGTTGAACATGCTTCGGTTTCTCACCTCCACCTCTGGTCCAAAAAAAGGTCTTGGAACCTGGATCGGCTCCTTGGAGGCTTCGCTAAAAGGACTCCATCCGGAGTGCGATAGGCCTGGGAGAAAACCGCATCCCTTTGCTCTGAGAGGTGAAACATGTCGCTTGGCTCGAATTTGCACCCCGGCAAAAAAAAGCAGTCTTGTTTACCTGGTTCGTGGAGAACCAAGGGGACCCCCAAAAAAGGAAAACACATTTCAAGCAGGGGAGCTCCTTGGTTCTTTTTTGCTCCCGAGCCACCGGAGCTTCGGAGCAGCTGGTGCTCTGGCCATCCCAGCTGCAGCGCCTGGAGGGAGACCAACTTTTGACACGTGGCTGTGGTTGTCAGCCCGTACCCCCAATGAACATCCCAATCCAACCACTAAAGTAGACGAAAATGGGTGGTGCACCTACCAACCAAAATGGGATCCCTTTGGTTTTGACCCACAGCCATGTGGCTGTGGTGGTCAAAACCCAAATCGTAGCCATGGTGAACATCAAAGGTGACAAATGGATATTCATCCACCCGAAAATGGCTCGCCATAGGTTATGCCCCATGGCCATGTGGCTGTGGTTGTCAAAGCTAAATGTGGGGTGTGCTTGTCAAAGTTGACAACCATTTGGTTAAGGCCCCAGGAAAAAAGGAAATTATGTCCAGCGATGAATTTCTTTTAAACCCAACAAGGAAAAATCAAATCTTAAGCAAATGGAGGTATTAAAGACCACAGGTGTTGGTCTTTGTTTACCAAGTGTTGAGGGTTAAAAGACCTGTGCTGCGCAACTTTTGACATAGCCTTTCGTCTTTTCAGAGACCACTTACGCAGGTGTTGGTCTTTGTTTACCAAGGGACCATGTTGGGTTCCATTGTTTGAGCCACAGCTGTGTGTCAACAGGACCGCCCGAGGCCAAAATCGCACGTTGGCTTCCTCACTTCCGATCGAGTGGACGGGCCTGGAAAAAGCAAATGGTCCAAACCCCCAAAAGTTTAAAGTCCAGGAACTCAGGAAGAGAGCTTCCTTTTTCATTTCCCGCAAAGGATCCTCCTGTGGAAAGAAAGTCTGCAATAGATGTACCTACAACCCTGGATTGTCATCCGTGCATCCGTGCATCCGTGCATCCAATCAATCAACAGAACAGAACCAAACCAAGTCAACCAGTCTTTTAAACGACAACATCAAATCAAAATCGAAACATATCAAATCAAATCAACCAAACACTGAGCCAAGCATGCAAGCAACCAAACCAAACCGAGCCAAACCAAAAACAACAGATCAAACACATCAAATCAGATCTAATCTAATCGTTTCGATTCAATTGCAGTTTCATGTTAGTTCAATCAAATAATCAATGAATCAACAAACCAATGAACCAATGAACCAATGAACCAATGAACCAATGAAACAATCAATCCAATGAATCGAAGCAATCCAATCCATCAAATCAAGCAACTCAATCAACACAATCAAATGAATGAATAATGAATGAATGAATGAATGAATGAATGAATGAATGAATGAATGAATGAATGAATGAATGAATGAATGAATGAATGAATGAATGAATGAATGAATGAATGAATGAATGAATGAATGAATGAATGAATGAATGAATGAATGAATGAATGAATGAATGAATGAATGAATGAATGAATGAATGAATGAATGAATGAATGAATGAATGAATGAATGAATGAATGAATGAATGAATGAATGAATGAATCAATCAATCAATCAATCAATCAAATCAAATCGATCAATCAATCAATTAATGAATCAATCAAGCAAACAATGAGTCAATCACGCAAGCAATCCACCAAATCAACAACGTCAACAAGTCAACAAGGGAAGGAAACAATACAGCCACCAGTCAAGCAAACACACACACACACACGATATTAGCCATGAATTCTATTAAGGAACCACCTCCAAAGTGGTTGATGGACATACATCACCACCAAAATGGTGTCCACCACAGGGTCCCTCATTTAAAAATTCCACACACTCATGGCGAGCAGGCAGGGTTTGGCAGCTCGGGTCCTGCTTTCTCAGGAGCTCCGTGCCCAGAACCAGAAACTGGCCGCAGCTCTTCTCATAGGGCTCCAGCCAGGGGTGCTCGCGACCTGGAGCTTCATGGCCCTTCGGCGTTGCTACGGGAGGGCCGGCAATTTTTTGCGGGTGCTTCCTTGTCGTTCTCTTTAAGGAGTAGCAAACACTCACTTTGTTCGGGGTGGGGGGGAGAGGTGGGGGGAGGAAGGGGAAAGGGAGGTCGTTCCTCTGTTCAATTGTTTTTGAAAAAAAGGAGGGGTGGGAAACACTGACTTTGCCGGCAAAATAGGCGCAAGGTGCAGGACACTGAATGGCACTATTGACGTGCAAGTGCCACGCAGCTGAGTTTTGGGGTACTTTGTTGGGGGTAGTCTGAAAAGGACATAACACCACATTGTTGAAAATGTGTTTTCCCAACAAACCAAAATCATACCACCGCATTTTCCCACACGGCGCACCAAGTTCCTGTACACAAAGCACTCTATTTAGACGTGCAATGATAACCTTTACAGGTCCGTTTCCCCCCCGGCAAGATTGCAATGCAAGGGAGTGGATTGTTGCGGCTTAATTTATGAGGAACGAAAACATCCATCGAGGTCCAAGCTGTGCCCGTCAGTTGACCCGTTTCGACAAAGGGATACACAGGGCAGGTGTCAAATCGGGGCCCAGGTGCTGAACCTGAACACCTATGACGGGGTCAGGACGAGCTACAAGGCTTGCAAGATGAGGCAACCATATTCTTTGTTCCTCGAAGCAGTTGGATTTTTTTGGGGGGTACCTCTTTTCAAATGGTCTTAAAAGGAAACCGAAAGCAACACCTGGCTTTTTTGGGGGTCCACAAACAACAAGACACACCCACATTCTACGTTGCGACGCGGCCGAAGGTACAATGCGCGAAGTCCGTGACAACGGTCAGGAAGCGGCAGGACGGCATCACCCGCTGCAGCGAGGCTCTCATCGCAGCGTTCAGAAAAGGAACCTCGATGCCAACGGAACCTCTTGACTTCAACCACTTCAGCCTGTCTATTTTCTCAGCCCCTGCTGAAAGATGGAGTTGTGGGCCCTTCTGTTTTCTCGTCCCCTGACAAAAATGGAGTTGCGGGTTAAATGGAAGCTCCCACTAAATAACCTCAGTTCAAGGTTGAAGCAGGAAAGTCGTGGACAGTTGTTTTTGTTGCATCAAGAGGCTCGTTCCCGTTCCAGCGCCACCCAGCGAGGATGTTTCCAAGAGTATTGACCCAACCAGCACCCAAGGGACCCCCGAATCTAAGTGGTGGGAGGGTACTTCAACAAATAACCCGTTAAAACAGTTGGTGTATGCGTGGTTGCTGCACTGACCAGCAGGCTGGGAGCACGGGGGGGGATTTGCACGGACATTCATGCCCCCCCCCCCCCCCCCCGCACGTGGCGATCCTCAGCGTGTTTGCAGCTTGGGGTGGGGGGGGGGTTGGGGGGGGATGGAAAGAACATTGGCCCATGCTTCAGACTTGTCAATCCTGAACCCCAGCCCTACACGTCATGTGACTGTGACTACTCCATTATCTGTGCGCCCTACGTGACTGGAGCTCCAACTGCGCAGTCCCGATTGCTTAGTTGACACGTCGCCACTTTGATGCAGGTGGTTTTAGAAGTCTAAGTTTCAGCCGTCATGCGTCATGGGGTCCGATTCTCCCAAGGGCTTAGTCTTCGCGTGCTCTCAGCTGCAGTTGCAGGTGGCGACTGCGCACCGTAGTTTTAGTGCGCACGCCCCGGTGATAAAATTGAGGATGCGGCGCTTGGCGCTTGCGCAAGCTCTTGCCCCTTGGGGGGAACCAGGGATCCTTGCATTATACACCTGCACATTGCCTTGTCGCTTTCGGGGTATGATTCCTCACATCAACCCTCCAAATCGCGACTTTGTTCCGCTCATTCCGGTGCATGGGCAGGTTCAGAGAACTGGCTCCAAAGCTATCCCTCAACAGGCCCTGAATGCCCTCTGTAACTTTGCAGCTTCTGCCAATTTCTCGCTTGGCAGAAAGGATGACGCGTGCAAGGTTACGTGGCTGGCTCTTGCTGCTGAGTTTGTCGCCACTCATGGCTTTTTCATTGGCTGGATCGATGAGACTATGTCCATCGGGCTGATTTGCTCCCGGGTTCGCGCCGGGTTTAAGCGAGTCCTCCACGCGCATGGCAAATCCTTTGTGCCATTGAAGAACATCAAATACTTCCACCCGATTCGGGTAGGGAGTCTTTTCGGCTTTGTTGGTGCTTACCGCCACCAGCACGCTCAGCACCTTTTCGCTATTTTGCTGCAGCTGTGGGATGCCGTTTCAGCTGTCTCTGGGCGCCCTGAGCCCAATCAGCATATCGTGGTCACTTGGCGGGGCTTCTCTTCGCGGGTCCCTGTTTCGTTTGACTGATCTGCTGTTGTTTTGTCGCGAGCTCAGAGGTCCGGGCGGCTGATGAGTGTTCACCAAAAAAAATGGTGGTTTCCCTGTATTCTGGTGTTGAGAAAGCCACATGTTTCAAATGGTTGCGAAATGAGTTTCTGTTTTTCGGAGCCCTGGGAAAGTTGGTCCGTTTCTTACATCAGAGCTTTGCTAGGAGGCGACCAACCTGAGAGCGTGCCCAGTGCCCGTGCGCTTTTTTTGAAGACACAAGCTGGCGCACCAGCCCTGCTTCGAGCAAATGACAATTTTCTGCGCCTGCACCGCGTACTCGAATCTGAGATTTGAATACGCCAAGTTGGACATTTGCAGACTTTCCTGTGATCCCACCGAAGCCACGATTCGCCGCTATTTGCATAGAAATTGCGCAACAATTACCCCCACGTCCAAAACTCAGGTGATTTGGTCCGCCCTTTGCAACCCAACATGCCACAAATCGTGAACCTGATGAACCAAACTCAAGCAGATTGCCTGGACGCCCAAACGAGCACAAATTTGTGGCAAACCCTTCTTTCGAGCTGTTTTTGCCACCATTTTTTCCATCGAGCGGAAATTTGTGATCGTTTGGGGGTCCAGGTGATACAACAAGCCAAGTCAGAGGATTGCCCAGGGAGCCACGGAACTGGCCCGAAAGCACCTAGAAACCCGAAGAATACCTCAATATTTGAAACCACCAGGATTTGGACCGCAGGTTTTCGTCTATGTTACCACTTACCAGGGTTCCATTTTGGGGTTACCCTATTTTTGACCCACAGCCATTTCTTGGACAAGAGTTTTTGTGAGGGACGCTCGCCCCACGTTTGAACATATTCCTTAACACTTGTTTGGCACCCCTGAGTCATCTTCCCAGGGTTCTCCGTTTGGAAGATCTCCAAAGGATAGCACAAGGCTAGTTACCGTTCCCTTAGAACACAACGTTGGTCCACTCCAAAAATAGTCTATGAACTAGTCTTGGAGTAAACCACCCTACCGTACTAGCCAACATGGCGTTACGGGATGATAAAATAATCAGGGGCATGGCTCCAAAAATGAGAACCAACACAATCTATTCCCCCACTGTCTTTCTGAATGCACAAAAAACAGTGTGTGAATTGTGTGTTGCCCGACATGATACAGTCGGGAATGGGAAACGGAGTTGAGGGATTGAGGTCTATCCCTTCTTCAAGCAGTCCTTCCCAGAATTGGATCGATCACTCTCACAACCATAGCCGTTCGTCGCCCCCTACTGTTCAGGCTTGTTTGGTATTAGTTTGCCTCTTCTGTTCACAAGCCATTCCCGAGCCGAATTGAGGGGCTCTGTGCAGTTGACTGCCGAGCCACAAGGGCGGCACTTGTGATGCTGGTATTTGTATTCACTTTAAACTTCCGAGGCAAGAGAAATACAACAAGGAAAACAACCAAATGCAACAAATTCCAAAAAAAATGACACCCCTCAAAAAGGTGAGATTACACCCCTCAAAAATTGTCATATCCCTTGCTCTCCTAGCAGTACAACAAGCCGCTGAAACCCGGTGCTGGCCCGAGCTGCGAAGGAGACGACGATGGCTGGCCGCTTCACGCACCAGTACTCCTCAAAGACTTCCTCGATGGCTGCCTCGCAGAGACACAGAAGCACCACGAAACAGAACAGCGCACGATGCAAAGAAAACCCCAGCTGATCGCTTGAAAGCGTGTCGAAAACACAAGAGTTCTTCCAGGAACATTGTCAAGGTTTGTGTTGTGATTCATGATGCATGTTGTTCAAGATCATAGCGATGATTCCAATTGCTTCGGCACAGTATCTCGAAGATGCCGCGCGGGCAAATGGACATGATTCGCCTCGGAGACCAGATGACTCTGTCGTTGAACACGCATGCCTCTGCATTCTATCCACAAACATGTATGACTCGCAGAAGCATGAGGTGACTTGGCCCCAATTGGACGCAAAGAAGGGATGAGCTCAAATTAAGTAAAGCCCACTGGCCATGGGCAAGGCAAAACAAACTTTGCTGGACGCCGATTGTGCAGGCAACCCCAAATATTGCGATTTGGGCAAGTAGCAAGTAAGATTGGCCCATGATTCAATTCCTCTCATGCTTGGACTATCCGCTTGGCCAAACTGTGGGCTCTGAGCATGTTTAGCTTGCGTGGGATTTTAAGCGGACACTTTGGACATGAGCGGGACATTAATGTGATCTGGTGTGGGCAGCCTTGTCCTGGAAAATGTGGAGACACCGGCGGAAGATGAGCGGACATCGGCGGTTTTATACTCACTCCGTCAAAAACACCAAAACATGTGCCCAAACGAAGGTCTAGGCTTAGATCTTAGGATGTAGTTGACTTCCCTGGACTGTGCTTCGATCATTTGTGCAAGGGTCTCAGAAACTGCCACCTGGCCTGGTTCCACTTCACACCCCAGGATGCGACTTGGCCCAGCATGCCTGCAGCCTGAGACGGGCCCGGTTCGGCCGCATGCCGAGCGCAAAATGGCGCCTATTGGTCTTTGGAACCCAAGGAGCACTGTGTGGTGACCCTGCCTTGGGCGGGAATGTGGGAAACCATCTTTGCCTATTGTAGCTTGTGGCAAATACTTGACACATGTACATGCCCAGGGCTAGCACATGCCTTTTTCCCACAACTGTTGATTTTGGACCTTAGAACTAAGGGGACAAAGATGGCTCGAGAATCCATTTAGTCTTGTTTCTGGACTAACATGTAACTTTGCGGCCGAACTTAATCATGCCCAACCCACCCTGTTGTGTGTGTAGGCCGCACAATCAGCGAACAACCTACATGGCTGTGGTAAAAGCCATACCGACGAACATATCAACAATGTCATTGCCGATCGAAGCGAACTCCCGTGACCTGCGGCGAGTCAAGTGGCCCTGACATAAATCAGCACAAACACAAAACCAGCCTTCGACAAACAATACACAAACATATCCCGACACGCATTTGCCATAGTAAAAGCAACACAACGGCCCGATTTGAGGAAACAGCTCATGCCCACAAGCAGTTGCCCTAGGCATCGGAAGCCACAAGTGCTCTTGAAGACTGGCAGCTGTGTAGTAACCGATCTGCATAAAGTAGTTGTAGATATCATCGCCTTTGGCCGGCCCATGCTGCAAGCTGTACATATGTGGTCTGAACACAATGCAAATAGGATCCATCCCTCGGCGTGTGCCTTCTCAAGCCGGAACTCAAAGATCCTCGCTTTCCCGCCCAGTAGAGTAAAAGAGTGAACAGCTTTAAACAAAATGAGCTGGGTCTTCTCCGTAACATGGCAGTCTTTTGGGCCACTTCCAAAATCGGTAAGCATGCCTTGACCATGGAAGAGGGATCTGGGCGCTCAAGAGGCGAGTGAGACTTGAGTGGCATGGGGTGTGAGAGGACAGATGTCAAGACCAACTGGATACTCGAATCCAAACACACTGAAATTATCACACCTCAATGTCCCGCACAAACACAGCTCGGCAACGCAATGTTCAGAAACAAAATCGATCTGCTCTGTTGATGACGAGGGTAAACAACTGACAGCCAGCAAGGTACAAAGCATCCCTCTGCATTTGCGCATAACGTCAAAATCGCGCCGGTGTGTGACTTTCATTCACAAACGCAGCAGACTCATGTTTGGCTCTCGCCCAAGCTCCCATCGGTGTCAAAGTGACAGTTCTATGAATCTGACCGGTATATGCAAAAGGCGAGCCCCGAAGAATGGCAACCTCTTTGCAACTTGCGTGAACAACCAGTCTGCAGTACAGCTGCAGGCCAGCATGGTAAACAACCAGTTGGTTGCAGCTACCCTTGGGTCTAAGATGATAATTTCCTTCGTTTCCTAGACGCACGGGACCAACTGTCATGGAAACTGGAAGCACAGCGTAACATAATCCCTCATGGATGATCCCATATTTACTCATCGGGGCAAGGCAGTTCCCGTTTATGGAACTTTTTCCTGTTGCGTCACGAGACAAGAGTTCACAAGTGACGTCGGTTTGAGCAAAGTTGGGAAGTCGTGCAACGAGCAGCCTGGACGCCCCATTGGCCTTCTTTTGTAACATCAACCGCGCAAAAGGGGCGCAACAAAAAAATGAATCCCAATTCCTTAGTTCGGGTGGCCAACACCTCACAACTCCGTCTTTTTCCTGCTCACAAACCCGGCCCGGAAAAACCAACACTAAAAGCGATGCGCAACGTCGGCAATACCCCAAAGAAGAAACTGCAGCCCGTAGCCCAGGCAACCTTGCCAAAACCGCTCAAACAAGCCAAAAAAACAGCTTTTGAGCCGCTCGACCGAATTACGAGGCACTTGGCCCAATCTTCTCCAGGGCAAAGGCCGAGGCACGACCACCCGGAAAAGCGCTTTGCCGGTCCGGAGAAATGACAAAATCATACCAGTGTATACATACATTTCTATGTTCCAGTTCTCAGGCCACCAACCCCCCCCCCCCCGCCAATGGTTGGGGCGGGGGGGAGGGGGGGTTTCCACGGCCTGGAACATATATATATATATATATCAACATGAACAGGTTTTATCTCGTCCAGGTCGTTCAGGTCTGCAGCCCCCCCTTCCCCTGCTGTGCTTGGGGACGGGGTGTTGCTGGTCGGTAGCTAGGTGAGTCTCGAAGGATAGTTCGTGTGGGTTTCTGGCGTGCTGTAGAGTTGGTTTAGGTGGGTTTGGGGTTTACTTTAGGTTTGGGTTTGTTTTAAGGCTGGTTTAGGTGGGTTAAGAACTGGCTTGTCCTGCGTCTTGGGTGCTTCTTGGACATGCCATTGAGGCGGGACCAGAGGGCAGGCCCGTGCGGGAGGGGAGAGCATTGGCAATAGGGGGAGCTTATATATATATATATATATATCCGCCGACATTGCTCGGCGTGTCGGATACTTACTAGAGGATAGAGGATAACCCCCCCCCTAACCCCCCCCCGCCCGACGTCTATTACGTAGGTTTTTGGGGGGGGGGGGGGGGGTCCCCCACGTACCGCGCGGCAATTTGATGACGTTCCACTAAACGTAGTCTTCGGGGAGCCGGTGTCGCAAAACAGGGGTCCCAGGCTCGATTCCCCCTGCCGGCTTTTTTGCTGGCTTGGGCTTCCTGCATCCTTTTGCCGAAAATCTGGAAAAACTCAATGTTTTTGGACGTCCTCTTTGCGAAAAC